CCCACCCCCCCCCCCAACGCCCTGCCCCCCCCCCCCCCCACACACAAACACCAACACATAGACAGTTAACTGAGTTTGCCTTTGCAGATTTGCAGTATGAGATTTATGGCGACCTTTGTGAACTTCTCCAAGTGACAAGCAGCCTGTTAAGTTTTGCTATAGGTCTGTTCCCTCCATATTTTATTGGCTTGTTGAAACCCGAAGGCTCCGCACAGCCACTTGAGGCTGTGTGTATTTGTTGTCATATTATTGCTTTTGAAATAATTAAGCAACATGGTTTACGTGAGTCACACATGTTTGTGAGCCACAGAGCAGCAGTGTATGCGCTGAGCTCTCGCTGTAAAAAAAAAAAAAAAAAAAAAAGAAAACAAAAAAAAAAAAACGGTTTAAGCTAAAGCAAATGAACGTGTTGCTTGAGAGTTCAAACTACTGCAGATCCTTTCTGGTACGTTGATGTTTCTAAAAATATTTTACCAAGGTGGGGGTTGACCTTCAGAGGTTTCCAACTCATTTTTATTATAGGTCTTTCCCCATCATAAAAACAAATCCAGAGTCATGTTTGTATGGATATTAGTTGCGTTTTAATTTTAATTTCCCGTTTAACAGAAGATTGGCGTTTCCCTGCTAAGAAGAGCATTAATGGTAACCTAGTTTTACTGGACGAAATGTGGAGACTTTAAAAGAGGGACTGCTTCACAGAGCTCTGCTGGGGAGGGATGCACGTCTGTTAACCGTGTGTCTCACTCATACCGGCCATTTCCTCCTAAATATTTATCACCCCTGCCAGAGCACGCCGCCTTCCGCTCAGTCACATTTTCACTTCTGTTTGGTGACAAATCTATTTCACTGAATCCGGTTGAATTTTGGGCAGTTCATCTTCTTGTTGCACGATTGTGCACATTTATTTTCCTCTTTGGAGATTTTAATTGCATAAGATGATTAGACACGTGTGTAATTTAGGCCTGTCTCTCTTTTGGAATGTCCCAACAGTTTTAAAATCTTGATAGGTGTAAAACAACGTGCTACACTGGTTATTCTGCATGTGTGTATAATTCGATTATTTAGTTGTCTGTGCTGGGGAAAACCTCACTGGGCGCTGGGATAGCCCATTGGTTATAACATAATCTTCTATGAACTGAGCATGCGCGCTACCTTAAAATATCAGTACTGTGGTGTGTGTATACCTCTGTGGCAGTAGGCCTGTGCACAGTATAACCATCAGCTCACATTTCCTAGAGGTGTTGGTCAGCAGCTATAAAGGTCATTTCAGGACATAATTTGATGAATTATTTGATTGCGTGATGATGATTTTCTTATATATACAAAGTGGCCTAACCCAGGTCGGATTTGATCTTGCAGCTAAACGTTATTTTAGGTCCATGTCTGGCCTGTAGCCTACAACATGCGTAGCTGTCGCAGGCCACTGCTGCTATAGACAAGTTTGTGGACTTGACGTTAACTCAATAATGGCCAGACAAAAGTGAAGCCTTCATCTCACTAAAACAATGGGAAAGCCATAATCCAGTCTCTTTAGTAAATAATCTCTATGATTTATGGTTTTAAACAGACAAAATGTTAAATCTATCCCAACAGCACTGTTAATGAATGATATCGTGATTGACTGTTTTGATATTGTGCTGAATGGACTTGTAGGCTTTTGCTGTGGTTTAATGTGACACATTCTGTCTGTGCCTTGATTTAATAACGAAATGAATTGTTGTATTGTGTGTGATGCATGTGATGCATGTAGTGCATGACACTTTTTTTTTTTAGTGTTCTCACATGCTGCAAAGCCCCAGCAGTATAAAGCCTCTGGTTCTGGTCTGCTTAACCCAGTAGATTTCATACAGATAAAACAGTAAAAAGGCCGTTTGAGCTCACGTTGGCTTGCACCAGAACATTGTTTATCCATACAACACTTGCATCCACTTATTTCTAGCAAGATTTGTGCTTTCACAAGACAAATATTTATATTATTTGTTGTATTTCCAAATGTACTATATGTACCTGTGGCTGATATTAAAAGTTTATTTTTAATTTCTGTGCATGAGGAAACTGATGATAACAAGGATTTTGTCACATGAGCTTCCCATCTTCAGTAACAATTATTTGCCTTAAAATGTGGAATTTCACAGTGTAATGCTTGTGTGTATATAGCATTATATTGGGCATGTTTTTGTGCTGTGTATGTGGTTGGTTGTTTTTTGGTTGGTTTTTGATAAACACGGCTTCTGAAATGCTTTGCAAGTCTTGGTCTGTTCCATGTTATTCAGCACAGGGTTATACCTGTATATAGCACAACAACAAGTGCACAACACTGCACCTGTATTTCAGAGATCATATGGTCAGCCGGGTCTTCAGAGACTGCTGCAGTGCTTAGTTTGCCTTCATATGGCTGATGGAAGGGACTAATTGACTTCTTGCTGTGATTTACTGGAGCATCTGTCTGCAAATGGACTGATCCCAAACCTGTTAATTCACCTACATTTCATAAATGCATGGCAAGATTACACTGCCATCCTTCATCAGTCACACTATCTCAGCCCTCTCCACATTAATGCATGTAGCTGCTTAGACTTACACACACACAGGCACAACATCACACACACATAAGCACTCCTGTTTGTGTCATGAACACACTCTGTGTCTGTTTGGATGGCTACTTGTTAAAATAGTTTAGTGATCTCTAAACTTCCCTCTTTATTAGTTTCTGTACTGTCTTGTGATTCTGACATTGATCGCCTGGTGTAACACCTTGTGAGTCCTATGGGAAAAGTTTATCTGGGATTAACATGTATATTTACAGGTGTATATGTTTATTGGTTTTGTGCAAATATTTTCCAAAAAGATGTTATTAAAAAAAAATCAAACAAACAAAAAAAAAACATCACAGTCCGAGTTGAAATAAAATAAAATCTACTGACACCATGGCAACTCTTGTCTTCTAACTGCTATTTCAGTTGTGTTTCATTTCACTCTTATCGTTCAGCTGCTCCACATTTCCTACACTGGGAATGATTTCTGGACACAGAGTACTCCCTGACATTAGTGTGTTGATGGTTGTGAGTGATATTTTGTTTGCAACAGTCACTAGGATTTTTGTGCGGTCTGTCAAACAACCAACCAAAATGACCAGACTTGGTCTGGAGGGAATTCCATATGTCAAAATATTAATATTTGTTCCAGTGTAGATATTTAAACTGGAGTTGTGTTTACATTCACATCTAGTTTCCACATTTTAAATCTTACACGGCCACAGACTTGGCTTTTTAAATCAAATTGAACAAATAATAAATGAAAAGATGTAACATAAAAATGTCAATTAAGAAATAAATAATCGCAGCACATAAGTGTCTGTCTTTGCCATGACTTGCATCATGTTAATGTTAGTATTGTGAAGCTAATATTATCACTTCAGCATTCATCATATGTAATTAAAATTTTGATAATTTGGCAAGTTTTACATATACATTTACTAATTAAATACTACACAGAGCAACATAGTGTATTGCATACAAGTATGTTGAATAGACAACTGCTTATTAGGGTAAATTCTAATTAGGTTATGGCCACATTAGGAACCATTTGAACAAATTAGCAAATGTAGATATTATGAGCATTTAAATGATCATTGTCTATTCACTATAGTATGCTGAAGGATTTGACTGTATAATCTGCAGTAGGCCTATAACACGCACTTCATGAAACGGTATGTTAGTGAAAAAGGTGAGGCCGAACTGCCTCCTTACATATCACATAAAATCACGCAGGTGTAGCAATATTCTAGATAGTCCTTTTTTTTGTTTTGCCTCAAAAGAGGACCTGGAATCATTTGAGGTCTGTCAGTCCTTTATGCTTTCTGAAAGACAGATCGGAAACTTTGCCTTCCACCTTCAATCATTCTCGGAAATAAATCGGAGTAAAGGTTGACAAACACGAGCGTCCATTACAATCATGACGGATTCAGGCCAGTTCTGGCTCTGTCTGCTATTTTGCGGCACTTAACGTCAAGTGGGCCCCCTCGTTTTGTCTCTGTCTAGGATCCACTGCAGGTGACGTCAGCCTAACAATGTGAAGAGGACTCGTTCTCCCTTTTTTTTTAAGAATATGTTGAAAATTCTGTCTTTGGGGAATAAGGAGACTTTCAACTTAAACCTATAAGCTGCAGTCCGGAGCACACGGCACGTTTTATAGATTGAAATAAAAAAAATTCAGCTAAAGTGTAGAACATAAGAGCCACGTCAAAGCCAGGAGACGTGCAGGAATACGTGCTCTGCTGGAGGAGCGCGCAGGGCTGGAAGCTGCTGTCCTCACAGCACCACACAAAGTTGATCTGAGGTTCCTGTTAGCAGAGGAGCCTATCCACTGCTCTTTGTCACCTTTTAGAATTTCATTTTAACGTAAGCAGTTTTACAGCTGTGCTATCCTGCGTTTTCGATTATTATTAAGCTTAATAAGAAAAAAAACTTTAGGTATAGAAATGGTTCAGCTTGGATTAAAAAGTAGAATAGTACATTCTGTTGTGTAGTACTCGCCAACTACACTGCTCGAAAATGTCTAATACCTTTTTTAATAAGACGAAATGTGGCTGGTCTGGACTACTTGTTGCTTTATTAAAGTTTTATTGTTATGAGGCCAACAGATGGTTGTTAAAAAGCAGGTACTATGAAATAAAACTAACTTAAAACTATTATGAGGGCCCAGAAATTTAGATTATATAGAGAAATGCTGTTTTTATCCTTTGTGGTCAGACACTTTGAAATAACTAATTGACTGTTGGAATTATTTTCGTGTAACTTTCCCTGTTTTCGAATGTGGCACCCCAGTAAAAATTCAAGTTTTGACAATAACTGGTCTGAACACACAATAGCCAGTCTCTCATTATTGGAGCGAGGCAGGATTCCTAGTGAAATAAAAGACGGTAGATGGGCTCAGATTGTTTTGTGCTTTGCTCGGGTCTGGATTTATCACTTGACTTTTAACAGATGATTAGTATTACACGCTAACCTGTAGATTTTGTCAAATGAAGAGATTTAAAGAAGGGGGTCTTATGAGAAAACGCCTGAAGTTAAAGAGGCAGCAGTATCTGGGAGTATCGCGGCACATTTCAAAGCATTTTCTCCACGATATTTGAAAACGGCGTCACGCAGTGAACGCCTGCGTGTCCCTTTTAAAACAAACCCAGCGCCTGTCAATCACGGCGCATTCCAACCAATCCCAAAGCTCCCTTTTTAAAAGCAGGTTTGCCTGCTGTGCTTTTATATTGCACCATGGCCTGTTTCGAAGCATTTTTACTACCACGGTTATTGCCACAAATCAAGAGGGCAAAGTGAACGGCATGGGACTCACACCAACTTTAACGAAATTGAGTGTGGTTCGTACTTCTGCGAAGTTCACGGCCAAGAATTTCACGTGCAGATGATATACAACAAGGGAAATGGAAACAGAATTTCTAGGTGTGTCCTGAGTGCTGAATTGGTTTGATTTTGCAAACTCATAGCCAAACTCACAACAAAACATGACAAGCCTTGCGAGGTTTAGTGGCTGCCCTCTGTCTTGCGTCAGCCCCGGGGAGAGCAATACTGAACCCAGCGTGGTGCTGCCACCTTTGGCAGGAGAGCACATGGGACACCCCACTGGCAGTTCCTTAAAACTCTGCCCCTCGCACAATTTCAGAGACTATCCCGAGACGAGGTCCAGTGCATATGTTGACCATTCGCTTCCCAATTTTTCAGACTCTGGATACCCCAGCCATCGGTTAGAGCACAGCCCTAGGGGCATTATCATTGGAGCCAATCTTTCTGGAGCCGGCATGCCACCCGTCACTGATCAACTGGCATCAAGATCTAACCAACATGGCGGGATTGGAAGGTATCGTGACTTTGCCGGTTGCAGAGACAACAGAAGCCATGCTTTTTTCACAAGTTATCAGGAACAGGCCCATGCATCCACCGACGCATCTCGAGATCTTAGCAGCCAGATGATGCTGGGGATACCTGGCGACCTCCTCACCCGGACTCACCCTTATGGCCAAACTATCAGCCCCAAGGGAAACAGCCAGCAACTTGTCACACAGTTCCTGGGTCTGTACAAACCCCTGAACATGGCAATCCAGCGAGGAGGAGGCGACGCTTTCCTCAGGTGCTCTAAACAAATAGTCAAGCATGAGCTGGTGTGCAAATGGAGTGACGGCCAAGAGGGGGCTGGGAAGCTGCCCTGCTCCAGATCTTTCGGGACTATGTATGAACTTGTCACCCATGTGACAGTAGAGCATGTCGGAGGACCTGAGCACTCTGAATACGTGTGTCACTGGGAGAACTGTGCCAGGGACAGGAAGCCTTTCAAAGCCAAATACAAGCTGGTGAACCACGTCAGGGTCCACACAGGGGAAAAGCCCTTCCCCTGCCCTTTTCACGGCTGTGAGAAAGTTTTTGCAAGATCAGAAAATCTAAAGATTCACAAGAGGACTCACACAGGTTAGTTAATAATCAGAATACAATGTAGAATTAAACAATAATAATAAAAATAGATTTTGATAAGTGACATTTACGTGGTCAGACTGTCTTCATTAGTTTCTTTAAATGTGTTTTTTTAAATTATTATTTAATATATTATGGGAATTTGCAAAATAATTGTTTGTTTTTATATTTTTAATTTGATGCCTGCACTGTTAGAATTCTAAGTGTTGTTATGCAAAGCTCCATGTGCCACTTCTTGTCGTCTCGGTTATTGCCTGGCTTTGCAGAAAGACGTGTGTGTGCTCCATGCAGGAACCACAGCAGTAGGCCAGTTAGAAGCGAGTGCAGCGTGTAGGCCTAGTGGTTTGGGTGACTCTCCCACTTCATTCAGTGAAATTATTAAATAAATGCTGGGACACCGGAGAGTTGTGACGTAGCTGTTACGCTGTCTCTGCCTCCCAGGGACCCGTCTCATGCGCTCAGGAACACTAGCAGAGCACGTCACACAGTGAAGTAGTAGGAGGGTGAGTAAACAGATGACCTCGATCAGCCACAGAAAGTAATGATCAATGTTTAAAAAAAAAAACGAGTCACGTTTTAAAAAAGATTATTTATTTATAGCTTTATCCTCGTTTAATTGCCACCACTTTCACAGGCCTCGTCACTGGGATATTATGTCATAAAATAAAAGTCTCACCTTCTTGGGGCTTTGCTTTCCACGCTCCGGATATGTGCACGGAGTATCTTGTATAAAATGAATTCACCGTGCAACCCCAATTTGTTATTATTTTGAAATACACCAGTCATTATAGTAGAAAGCTGCTCTCACGCGATGTGATTCCACTAAAATGTAGGCCTTTGAATTAGAAATATAATTTAGAATAGAGTGAATTGCCTTTAGAAAAAAGAGGCTGAGGGGAAAATACTATTGTTCTACATTGTTTTACTAATGAAAGCAAAGAGAATAGAGACAGAAAAGAGACGCTTAATGACATTTGTTACACAACTGCACATGCGTTGTGTGTTGATTACACATCATTTGTCAGAAAATATACTGATACTTAAAAAAAAATCCTGAGGCATCCAGACATTCACTTAGACACCTATAAATGATAAATAAACATAAATTGGTGGCCTACATTATACTTGTGAGTCCAGCTCGCTGTGTGCCAACAGTTATCATCCTGACAGCTATAATTCAGCACGATGCCTCCATAAACCTTTGCATTCGCTGTTGCGGCTTCATCAGTAATCTAATGCATGCTTTGTTGGTTTAGTCGATCACTTGTTGCGATCAGGACAGTTGCAGACTTTCAGCAGTTAGTTTGACCTCTGCATCTGAATGATATCACGTTTTTGCACCTCAGTGGCCATTTACAATAAACGATGTGGCCATTGTATTTATAATCAAGCCTGACTTTGCCTGAACAGCGGCTCTGTGTTTGCAGAGTCGCTGACTGAAAACTGAAGATGAGATGGTCATTTCGCAGTGTCAAATGAAGGCTGGATGTGCATTTGTGGTCTGTAGTGTCGCTTTTCAGAGGGAGTGCATTCAATTAACTTGCTACATCAGTAGGGTCTTTGACAGGGGAGAGCATGCGCGGGCCTGTAACCATATTCGTAACTCGCCGTCATTTCTCTTTTTGCACGTTTAGGTGAAAAACCTTTTAAATGTGAGTTCGAGGGCTGCAGCCGGAGGTTTGCGAACAGCAGCGACAGAAAGAAGCATTCTCACGTGCACTCCAATGACAAACCCTACATGTGCAAGGTCAGGGGCTGCGACAAGTGTTACACCCACCCAAGCTCCCTGCGAAAGCATATGAAGCTCCACTGCAACAAGGCCCACGTCGCCAAAAGCGGCGACGCGCGTCTTGGTGACGAGGGTCACATCGCGCACACCAGGTCAAACGATGGAGCCCAGATCAGCCCCCCTCACCCCCCCACCTCAACTCAAGATGTGCCTCAGTCCCCAGAGAGTCGAGACGAGTCGACCCCAAGGTCACGTTTCCATCACGCTTTTGACAGCAGTTTGGACTACTCCACACACAGGTCACAGCCCCTCTTGGACCCTTTGTTGCTACAGAGAGGCAGCTACAGGTCCCAGTCCTCCCAGTACCCCTGCAGCCAGACAGGTCACACTTTCGGCCAGAGCTCAAGGACTTTCCCCTCCACTTCACCTTCTC